TATCGGTAAAGTTATATTCGGAAAGAATAAACCAGTTTTATTAAGAAAGGACTTGTGTCGCTAAAGTTTCATGGGAACGAATTTACGGAAAATCAATTAACAACTGGAGAGGTAACAATATATTAGATAGTCAACATGGTTTCAATAAGGGAAAATCTTGCCTTATAAATCATTTAACATTTTTTGAAAAGGTTGCTGCTTATGTAGATGAGGGTAAGGGTGTGGATTTGGTGTATCTGGATTTTCAGAAGGTTCCACATAAAGGCTTGTAAAAAAATTATCTCTATAGGTGTGGGGGATAAGTTAGGAAATTGGATAGAAGAGTGGCTGGATGGAAGAAAGCAGAGGGTTGTTACAAATAGAGTTCAGTCAAACTGGATTAATGTCACAAGTGGGGTACTACAGGGCTCAGTCTTAGGACCTTTGCTCTTTTTGATTACTTCAATGACACAGATGATGGGATAGTCAATAAATTACTTAAATTTGCAGATTTAAATGAGTTTAAGAAAAAGCTTGATAAGGATATGAATGAAAAGGGCTGGGTTTAAAATTTTAATATTATTATTATTATTTTTTTAATCATTTTAATTTAGTTTTGAGGATGGAACAGCCAAGATGGGCCATGTTGTCCCAAAATATTATATTATGTTAAATGAACCACAAAAAAGATAGAAAAGACTTGATTAGTATGTTTTTAAAATATCGTATTAAAATTTTGTTTTTCTTACAGGAAGTACCTGCAAACCAGTTATATGGAAAGATTGAAAGTTTAAGTGAAGGTGTACAGTATGAATTCAGAGTACATGCTGTTAATAATGCCGGCCCTGGTGATCCCAGTGATCCAACCAAACCACTTATAGTGAAAGCTAGATTTGGTATGCTGAAAATGTAGTTGGATAATCAATTACTTTATTCATAGACATTCTTTGCAATTTTTTAAAAATTATACTTGAGTCATATAGTTCTTATGCTTTCAGAATTTATTAATACACATGAATATTTAACATTTGTTAGGTTGAACCTAAAAGTAAATATTGTAGAAGATAATAGCCAAATGATATTTAGTATAGTATTGTACTTTTTATCTGAAACAGTTAAGCCTTACATCATTGGTGACGAGTTGATCAACATTACCATGAAGAGAGGACAACCTGTGAAATATGAAATACACTTTGATGGGGATCCTTCACCAGAGGTTGTGTGGCAACTAAATGATTCGGAAACCAGACCTTTCCACAGGTGATAACTGCACCAGCTGTTGCTGTTTTAAACATAAAAAAAATAACAACTAATGTATAAATTAATAATGGCTGGAGACGGCTTGAATGGGTAATGATGATGACAAAACCTTGTCGAAACGTTGTACATTTGCTGTTATGTTAAACTTATATTAAAGTTTTTCTTCATTACCCATTCAAGCCGTCTCCAGCCATTATTAGTCTCAAAGTGGGTTCCTCGTCATCGAATTTAATGTATAAATTATTCAAAACTTCACAAAATGAATTTTTTAAACTCCTCATTACTTACAAAAACAGAAAGTAAAGACTTAATGAAACATGAAAAAGTAACCAGACTTTTTTTTGTGTTTCAGAATATCTATTGAGAACACCAATAAGAATACAATCATTGTGGTCAAAGACTCCACTCGAGCAGACAGTGGAAAGTACAAACTGACCTTGACTAACACTTCAGGAAGTGTATCCTCCATAGCAGAAGTGACGATCATAGGTAACTGTTAAACTTTTACTATGATCAGTGAGAGATAACCAATGTATTATAGATGGAACTGTGATACATATTTATCATAAGTGTATCATTGCTATACAGTATTGGGAATTATGGAAACAGTGAATTAAGTGAGTATGAAGTGCACACATTATGGGATTGCTCCCATCTTTTTTCATGAAGATGAACTATATTAGATGTGATTGGTTGTCATCCAACCAGTGTGACTGTTCCACACCAGCATAATGCATATAAAAGTATTGTGATGAAAGCATTTGTTTTTCCCATGGCAATAAGTGTGTAGCTGCTCCACAACCACTGATAAGGAGAGACCAAACAAAAAGGTTTAAATAGGTATCAGGCTTAAAACATTTGGATGGGCAAGGCTAAAAGAGATGCTACTTACAAATGAATCCAAATTCAAATTGTTTAGCGTCAAATAATGATATTTAGCTCACTGAGAGAGTGGGATGGTATCATGATAAAAATTATAATGATGTTGGAAATCTGCACAAAATTCATGACACCCTGACTGCTGATGGTGTGCAAGCAAATTCTTGTTAGGCAGAGATTCATGTTTCAGCAAAACAAAGCTTGCAGCATATTTAAAACAGTGTTTCACAATCATACAATGACAAAAATTGTAGCATAAAAGTAAGGTTTACTGCTCTGTTTAACCCTCTATATTTTGACCAACCTTCTAACCACAGTATAACTATAGAACTATACATATTATTATTAATGTAATAAGTGTATCTTCAAAAAAAATTGGCAAAGTTATAGTAAACCTCACAAGTCTGTTGCACACAAAAAAATCAGATTTTTTAATTGAGTATTTTTACTAAAGGTTTGTCTGTAAATTCATGGAGTCAGAGTCTGACTCAGACTCAGATTAGTCTTAGCGCATAGTGAGTTTTGTTGTGAAATTAAAATACTTTATTTTATCTTGCAATTTGTATAACCTCATATATGACTACAATTTCTTTTTTCATTAAGCTTTATATTTTATCAGTTATTGTTTCTACCTGAACACTGTATGGGCTCATTCCATTTTACTGACCTTGTAACCACCACAAAAAAATAAATAAATTACCCCTTTTTTCTTTCTAGAATGAATGCAGACTGTAACAGAAAATTAGTTATTTATCCAAAACAGCCTCAGGCTGATAACAGTTTACAACTGTTTTTGTTTAATTATATTGTTCTATTGCTCTGTGAACCATGTCTAACTACTAAGCATGCTTAACAAAGATATAGACATCTGGTGTGTGCATGACTCAAGCTGTAGTAGAAAAAGTACATTAATACCTTGATATATGAAGTAGATGCATTCCTGAAGCATTGTTCATATATTGAAACTTTTTATATTGAATAATTTATAACATTATTACCATTAGGAAGTGTTATCAGCCTTTGTAACTTACCATTTCATACTATAAACACTTCATAACTCTCCATTAACTTGTTTTATGATACATATTATTTCAAAATATATGAACTGTGTCCTGTTTGTGTATTGAAATTTATCACCAACAAGTCACAGACACCTATTGTAAAGAATCCTGCTCAACACATAAAACCTGACAGCTGAGATGGATGTTAACAAACAAGAATCTATATTTTGTTATAATTTCATTCTTATTTATATTGTAGATCAATAAATTTATTAGTTATATATTCATTTCAGTATATTTATTTATTATTTTACTTTATTTTTTTTTTCAGTGTATAATAATAGTCAAAAGTTTAAAGTACATTTATTGAATATATGCATATCAAGGTATTATTGTATTGAATTTTGAAACTCATGTGCAACTTGCATGCATATCTCACTAAGACATATTTGTATTTAATTATTTTTTCTTTTATATTTTATTATCTAACCCAATAACTTTCTAATTTTTGAATTTTAATTACTTTTTTAACGATAAAATAAAGTATACAAAAAACACAGATTTAGTACATGTGTGTGGGTCTTTTAGTTTGTTGCATTCAAAAGTTTAATAAAAATTAACTCTAATTCATGATAGTACTTTACTGAATTTTTATTTATTTCAGATATCCAGTTAGGAACACAAAATAATAATAATACGCAGAAAGAATACAATGTCCTATAACTATTGTAATTTAACTGGCTTTCTAATTGTGGCATAAGTACGTTAAGATATTTCGATTACTTGGTCAACTTGAATTCAGTGACAACAACTTTGAATCTTTAGGCCAAATAATTCAAATGCTGTTATCAAGGCAAGCTTCTTTTTTTAATTGGTTACAAATAATGTATTAGAAAATGCCATAGAGAATTATTGACATTTTTTTGAGAGACAGGATATGATAGGAGAGTGTGGCATGTGGGTTTGACTTTCTGATTTATATCTGTGTAATTGAAGATGATTGTAGACTAAAATTAGATGTCTTAGCAATATCTATACTATAAGTTTGTAATTTGTATTAATATTCAGACCCTCAAATAGGGGTGGAAAGAATACCTAAATTGGACAATTCTGAGCAAACAAGTTTTACAGGCTATAGAGAAGTGTAGTTTTAAAACATATTTAAATATATCCTCTGAAATTAAGAAATTATAGCTTATATAATACTATAATTGAGTTATTTACTACATTTTGATGCCAATTTTATTGACATACATTGATAATAAAGTAGTTTAATTAAATTTTGTATGTAATTCTGTAAAAAAGGTCTTGACATGCACATTTTCACTTACCCATAGCAAGAGGATTAAAGCAAATTCAGAATAGTAGTGCATTATATAACTTATTCACTTTTATTGAAATAATGTATTATACTAATGATAAATTGATCATTTAATTACAATTACCCATTGTTTGTGACTGCTTTATGTGTATCACCTATACATTTCCAGCACTGGATTCTCAGTAATTTTTATTTTTGAGTGAAGTTTTTATTCATTCATAAACTATATACTCATGTTTCCAGTTAACATGAATTATTATAAAACTTCTAGAAAATCAATATGTAATGTGTTTGACTGTATTTAATACTTGTTGTAAAAGTGAAAATATCTAAGCTGTTCTACGTGCACTTTTTACTTTCAAGACAAGCCAACACCTCCAGAAGGACCACTGAAGATAGAGGAAGTATGTGCTGATCATGTCAAGCTGAAGTGGAAGAAGCCTAAGGACACAGGTGGCCAGGACCTCAAGGAATACCTTATTGAAAAAATGGATACAGACACTGGAAGATGGATTCCTGCTGGTGAGGTTGGGCCTGAAAAGACGGACTTCAAAGTGGAGGGATTAACTCCTAAGAAAAAATACAGATTCAGAATTAAAGCTGTTAACAAGGAAGGGGAGTCAGAACCTCTGGAGGGTGATGAACCAGTTGTTGCAAAAAATCCTTATGGTAAGAAACTGATGAGTTAGTGTAAAGAATTGGTGGGATAAAGTAATGGTAAAGTGATGGATTAGTGTAAAGAATTGGTGGGATAAAGTAATGGTAAAGTGATGGATTAGTGTAAAGAATTGGTGGGATAAAGTAATGGTAAAGTGATGAATTAGTGTAAAGAATTGGTGTAATAAAATAATGGTAAAGTTATGAATTAGTGTAAAGAATTGGTGTGATAAAGTAATGGTAAAGTGATGAATTAGTTTAAAGAATTGGTGTGATAAAATAATGGTAAAGTAATGAATTAGTGTAAAGAATTGGTGTGATAAAGTAATGGTAAAGTG